GTTGATTTATCAAAAAGTGTGATCCATCAAAAATAAGGTAATATCATAATTTGCAAGGCAAGATATCATACAATCAGTTAGTACCACTCTTTACTTACAATTTTGAGGAAATCTGCTCTCAAATTGAAGATTTTCAGACCCTTATCGGTAAGTTGATCATTTTTCGGAACGGACGCAAAATATTGCAAAATTTGCCGATCTTTTGTCAATATTTTCACAATTTCGTACCCAATTCCAAAGAAAATTTCACTTCTGGGTAATTTTATGTTCCTCTTTCCATTGGTGATATCAGATTTTCGTAATCTTACTGATTTTTTGAGATAGCGAACTTAGGTCACGCGCGAACTTTGGTCACACCACCATACAACTCAGATTCTCTAACGATCTGCACAACACACTGCAAACATGTGACAGGGCACACTGGGTGTCCTGTACACGCAGTTAAAACACACACATTATTCGCACTCGTATCTTGGGGCACTTTCTCTCACATCCTCTATCAAATTCCTCCCATAGGATAGCGAGCAATCTAAATAAAGGCACAATGACGTGGATAAGCGTCTGAATAAAATCAGACGATTTCGTTCTTGATGTTCTCAATTGCGCTATCTAAAGAAGATGTAAAAATACCAATCACCATCCACACTTAACTACTGTAACTAATGTGTAACAGACATGTATTACTGTACGAACGAATCTGTCAGCCTAAATTGTTCAAGTGAACAAAATAACAAGTAACACTTTATTAAAAGATTTCAACTAACACAAACAGTGAGGCTTTCGTGCCTAATTCATGTCGACGTTATTCAATTCAAGTATGTATGCAATGCAATTACTAAGTATAAGAGTTTAAATGTACATTATATACAGAAATGTTGTCACTTTTGTCCGACAACAAATAATTTGCCTAAATAGCTAGCTTAAAGTATGGATGGTGTATGCGTGTTATGTTAACAGTTATAGGGACAGGTTTAAGATGTAACAATAGATCACTAGCAACTGAATTCTATTGTTACATCTTAGTAGGCTACTACAAAGTGTACCTTTTCTTTCCTACTAAAACATGAGACGTAATTATGGGGTAATTATATTCTGGGCTAAACACAACATAGCCTCCTCAACTTACGGTCAATCGAGGCTGACCAGCAGCCATCCAATAACCACTCCATTCCAAGTTCAAGTACAAATACTTAACTGCCTTCCTTCTTATTGCCTATAGCATAATCAACTTATAGTATTCGTAATCACCGCTCAACGGGAGTTTTACTCACTGGTCTATCCACCCCTAATCTCGACATGGCAGCTCACTCTGTCGGCATAACCATGCGATCTTTAATCCTTAGGTCTTTACAACAGGTTATATCCTCGAATTTCCAATTCCTATGCCTATTGCTAACTTCCAGAATTAACTAATCAGTTTTAAACGTACTTCAATCTTAAGACAACCGGTTTGTCTAGGGATTCGTTCCTTGCTCTCTGTAATTCAGTGCTTATTAATGAATCATTATCAATAAGTGTTACTAAGATAAAATATACATGTAAGTTACAGCTCCATAAATACATAAGTTACTTATATTAATTTGTATATCATTAATATTGTTGAATTGTGAATCTATTTACAAGTGACTAAATCTTATGCAAGTAATAGCGTCAGATCGTATTTACTTTGTTCACAAATATGACGAATATATTTAAGGTACAAATATATAGAATACAAATATTAAATATACAAATGTTCAATATAGTTACAACTGCTATACATGTAGATAGATATATTCTTAAACTACTAGGTACAGGTGACAGACTACGTTACTGAGGCTCTCAGCCTCCTCCTCCAGAAATTCATATTACTGGTAATGTATTAGGTCACACAGCAGATATGGTCTATAGTAGTAAATCTCGGTTCAACAAGGTTCACAGACAGGTCAGGTTCACAGCTCATTTAATGACAAAGTTTACAGCCACATCAATCGAACTCGGCTGTCGTCACGTATATCAGCGCACTATCATGCGCGTATGCTTTAACCACGCGAATATTACATGTACGCACATGAATATTCATAAATCTTCGCAATAACTATCAAATAATTTGTAACCTTTATACAAAGAGAAATATATTGATGAAAATAAAGTAAGAGCCTTATTCCGAGAGTACAGACATTCAGAATAATGGTAAGTCAGCCTGACAGTATAACTCAGCAATTTAACAAGTGAAATAGACAAAAATATATGAAAAGATCGAAAAATCAGTCCCACATTATTGTGGTGTTTCAAGTCAGTTTTATAAAAATGAACAAGTTATAGATTTTACGCTGACCTTCACAATATCAAATTACATTTGGAGACAGCGTTTAAAAAATGAACTTGTTTTTATTTTTTAAGTTTAAAAAAAAGAAAGAAAGAAAAATATAAAGAAGGGAAAACAATAAATGATCGATGTAATTAAATGAGGTTCATAAGATTGTATTACAAACATGTTTTTTTCTTAAAAAATATCAATTGATGGAGCATTTTTTATTTAATTACTAAAGAATTCCATATTTTTGGACCTTCATATATAAATGTAATCTGAACTAAGAAGGTCCGACAAAGAGGTGAATGAAAATCTCCTGAATGTCTTGTTGGGTAAGTATGGACTGAGCTATTAAAAAAATCATTACTTGAAAAACGGATGGCAACAAATTATTTTTAAAATTATACATGAATTGACCTAGTTTGAAAAGAAAGTTGTTTACCTTTGGTATCTTTTCAAACAAAATAAAGACTCTGTATTACAAATTGAATTTCATTCATGGACTCCTGTAAAACAGATAGAATGTGTTCTTATTGTTACGGGTAACGGGTAATGGGAAAATTGTAAGAGTAATTCATTTTATGAAAAGCATAAATAGGAGTTTTTGAAAAGGACTAGGGCAATTTGATAATGTTAGGCATGTACAAACAAAAAGTGAGCGTTCCAACAGGTGACGCAAACAAGAACGAAATGCTGGGTAAAAATGGAGCCCTTTCCCAACCCAGCCCCCCCCCCCCTCCATTATGCACTTAAATGTTAACCTGCAAAATTTCATTATTTTCCTTTTTATATTCAATATTTTACATTATCCATTCATTTCCCTTTTCCGTTTTTTTAAAGGCAATCCTATTACACATTCACTTTAAATTGTTTATATCAGGAAAAGACAGGTAGGCCCAAGTTACATTTCAGCACTACGCATTCGTTTTGTGTTATTACGATATCTATATGTTATTATATATCTTGTAGGTACGAAATACGAATAAAGTCTAGCTGCTACACTAAGGTTTACTTAGTTTTAGGATACTACCGTATACCTTCAACTCTTCTTGATTTGAAATAGAAATGTTGTGATTGAGTGTCACAAGAACAGTTTGTCAAAAATTTTACTCATGGTAACTCATGGTAACCACTTCCATAGCGCTCTACAATAATGCAGCAATATCAAAATCAAAAATAATGCAGCATAATTACCCTGGCTTTTTTCCTATTTTTCGATTGTCGTCATGAATGGACGTGCCTAACGATTCGCTCCGCGCTCACAACTTCGCTGAAGTATATACAACAGCAATGGAACTATAGCACCTATAGGAATTTTGCCTACTTTTGAGTACTTTGGGAGGTCGTTGAACTACCTGTGCTGGTTTTACTTATACTACGTGAACTCTTTTCGTGAAATATAAGGAAGTTATTGCCCAGAAACGCGTCAAGATGCCGAGAGGCGCGAAACTTCAAACCGAGGATATCGCAAGAGATATACGCGGAGAAGTCAAGAAAGTACTGGAGGACAACAACGATATTCTAGACTCTCTTATATCAAAGGTAAAGCTGACACTTATTGAAGAACTAACATCTGTCATTACTGAAAAGGTTGCTGAAAGCATTCGTGAAAGTTTTGAATTTGAGCTTTCCGAGAGAGATAGCAAAATAAGTGAATTGGAAAGAAAATTTGCCAGACTGAAGGAGGAGCACGAAGAGGCTGAGAATACTCGAGAAGAAATTGCCTGATTGTTCATGGTCTGGATGAGAGAGAGAGAGTGAGGAGACAGATGAATTGATTAACAAAGTGTGTGAGGAGAAATTGGACATAAAGCTAACAACAGGAGACATCGATAGATCGCACAGATTAGGATCGAAAAATGGAGGATCAACCAGAGGGATCATTGTTCGATTTACCAACTACACGGCTCGTAACAAGGTCTACCAGGCAAGAAGGAAACTCAGAGGTTTGGAAGGGACGCACATTTTCATACAAGAGAATTTGACGAAAGAGCGAGGAAGACTCTTTCGGGAGATAAAGTCAAAACATGAGGAAAATTGAAAGCGATTTGGACTCAAGATGGCCGAATCATAGTTTTGACCACTGATGGACGCCGTGTGATTCTTACACAGATGACCGATATCAGCAAACTAAGTCGTCTTCATAGCATGATCAGTCGATGGTTAGTTATTATCACGTGTATTGTACCTGGAATTTTATTTGCATATAAAATGGAAGTAGCAACTAATCCATCTCGTTGCTATGGTCACAAATCTGAGCAGCGACCGGCCGATCAGTAGCCTGCTCGGTCGCTGCTGGAATTTAGGCATCGCCCAGCGTTTTGTGTAGAAGTCGAGCAGGTTGTAGAGCCCGAGCGGTGCCTGGTCGGTGACCTGTCGATTGCCCGTCGGTCGCCGGTCGATTTTAGGTAAAAACTGGGCGAAATTGCGGAGCTTTTTCGCGCGGTGTCCCGGCAGTGACCGACCGGTGACCCTCCGATTGCCGGGCGATCTCCCACCAGGCACCGGCCGATTTTAAAGAAATTGCACGGCGGCCTGCCGGTGATCGACAGGGCATCGGCGGGTGTCTGGTAGGCGTACTGGCGGCGGCCCACCAGGCTCTGCCGAAAATTTCTCACAGGCAACCTGGGTATATATGTGACTTCCACAGACTGGTCATCATCAAAACCGCTTTTGCTTTGCATCTGAGAGGTCAACAAGGTCTACGATGCCGTTGATTCCACCTCAACTACTACGAGATCCACAACCCCAGCACTTTGACCGGCTGAGGGAGAGGGTGGCATATGCCCGTTACCGTTACAATCTTAACCTAGCGGCCCTGGTTGCCCTGGTGGCAGAAGAAGAAAGACGTGCGGAGCTCCTGCGCAGAAAAAGAAGATGGTGGGTGAGACCTTGAATTGCCCGACGACCAATCTATGGCCAATACGAGCAGCTCATGAATGAGCTCAGAAGGGAAAGCCCGGCAGACTTCAAGTCTTTCCTCCGGGTGGAGCCAGATCTGTTTTTAGAGCTGGTACAACGAGTTGGTCCCAGGATCGAGAAGAGTAAAAAGTAAGTAGCTTTGGCATTTCAACTCAAATCAAACATGCTCCCGGGCAATATCATGAAAGTACACCTGAATTTGATTTTTGTTCAATGAAATATATTTTGAATCTTACTAAATCTCCCTGCATTATTCTTAGATGAATAATCAAGAAACAGGTTATGCTTTAATTTAAAACCATGAAATTTATCCTGCGAGTCTTGCCTATACGATAAACGAGAACATACAAGTCAGTAAAGGTGGTACTGTAGTGAGTGAAAAATGTATAATGTACATTTTCCTTTTTGTTTCTACTTTTGCAGAGGCAGACCCCCCTTGCAGCCTGGCTTGAAGCTCGCGATCACCCTGCGCTTCCTTGCCACGGGCAACTCTTTCCGGTCTCTGGAGTTCAGCTTTAGGGTGGCCCACAACACCATTTCTATATTCATCCCCGTGGTGTGCCAGGCCATCGTTGACGAATACAGGCAGAAAGTTTTCAAAACTCCATCCACCCCTGATGAGTGGCGGCGCGTGGCCCAGGTCTTCCAGGATCGCTGGAACTTTCCCCATGTTTGCGGAGCGGTTGACGGCAAGCACGTGGCCACCCGGAAGCCGGCTCACAGTGGTAGTACATACTACACTTACAAAGGCTACTACAGTATCGTCATACTAGTGCTCGCCGACGGTGAATACAAAGCTCTCTGGGCTGACGTTGGTTCACAGGGCTCCGATTCCGACTGCGGCATTTTCAACAGGTCCGGGCTCCTCCGTTCTCTCATCACTGGCACCATCGGCTTCCCGCCTCCTGAGCCCCTGCCCAACGACGATCGAGACTCAGGGTTTTTCCTCCTGGGAGATAATGCGTTCCCCCTCCGTGAGTTCATGCTCAAGCCCTTCTCTAAACGATATCTCAACCGTGAGGAGATGGTGTGCAACTACAGGTTATCTCGGGCAAGGAGGGTGGTGGAAAATCTCTTCGGCATCATGGCCAAGCGCTTTCGGTGCCTGCTGACAACGTTGGACGTCGAGCCAGAACGAGCCATGACAATCAGCAATGCCTGCATAACACTGCACAATCTCCTGAGGGCCCGTTATGGTCTCGCGCCACGTGAAGCTGATGAAGAAGATGACCAGAACCAGCTGATGCCTGGGGCCTGGAGGACAGATGCCGTCATGCGGGAGGTGGAGGACCAGGCCCGTGCACCACGCGCCAATGCAGCCGGCCAAGCCCTACGCTCAACCTTCAAGGCGTACTTTAACTCTGATGCAGGGAGTGTCCCATGGCAACTGCCTATTCTCGGATTTCAGTAGACTTTTTTGATAATAAACTGTGAACCCATATATTTTGTGACTTTGTGATGATTAATTGTATTTTGTATTGTCGAGCCCACTGAGATGGAGGGAGACTATGATCCAAATTGCGTTCGTCTGTCCTCCGTCTGTACGTCCGTCCGTGTCCCTACACAAATTTGAATAACTTTGTTTGTATGATTTGTCACCTGAGAAAGAAATCAATGATGTGCCAAGTGAATAAAGTCTGGTAGTATTATGTGATTTTACATTGAGATTTCCTTGTATCTTATTTGCTTTTTGTTATTTCTTCAAAGTGAAGAGTTTATAATTGCAGTAATCTAGTAAAATTGTAAACTATCAACCTCAGTTGTAAACGAAAACCCAAGATATAAATTTAAAAAATTGGAACTTAAATAGAAGAAAAGATTGTACTTAGAAAATAAATAAAGAAACCATATAACAAGTCAAATAACTATCGAAACTTTTATTTTTCATCTCAAACATCATATCATGCCATGCAGTCCACATAACCCGCCAAAAAGATCACAAACTACAATCCACCTGTACATTGTACCTTATTTTATTTTTCAAAATGATTTTTTTTTTTTATTGCAGTAAAGTAAAATTGCAAAGTAAATAATTACATTGCAAACTTCAACCTCAGTTGTAAAAGAAAACCCAAAATATAAAGTAGAAAATAGGAAATTAAATAGTAGCAAAGATTGTACTTATTATTAAAATAAATAACGAAACAATAAAAACTTCAATTTTTCATCTCAAACATCATATATCATACAGTCGACATAACTGCCAAAAAACATCACAAACTACAGTCCATCTGACTATAAAACAGCTTACAAAGTTCGCTATCTACTAGTCGGAGTCAGAGATCCGAGCTGGTTGCTCCTGCTCCTCCGAAATAGAGGTGGATGCAGCGGATGCAGAGGGGGGGGGGGGGTTGGCTACAGGTAGCAGGGACGGCGGAGGGCTGGAGCTGGCTGTTGTTGCCAAGGAGGTCCGAGAAGCCACCTTCGCCCATGCCCCTGACGTTCAGTGACATCAATGATGAGGAGGCCCCGACTGCAGGGTGGCCATGGCCCCTGCAAGGATGTCATGTGAACTGGTGTCCTGCCAGGTGGCGGAAGGGGCCGATAGAACACGAGTCTGCAACAAACAAAAGACACAAAACATTACACCTTGAAATAAGAAACTGGCAAGAAATTGTAAAATTGAGATATGGTAACAGGAGTGGTGTACTATAACTTAGTATGTACATTTATACTTACTGGTCGCTGCTGTTGGCCGAGCTGCTGTGGGGTGGTCTGGTGCTGCTGTTGATGTTGGGGAGGGTAGAATCGCTGCTGTGGCAGTTGCTGGATAGGCTGAGCGGGCCCGGGAGGCGTATAATACTGGGGCTGGGCCTGTTGACTGTAGACGTGCTGAGGCTGTTGCTGCTGCTGGACCGGCGCCACATATTTCATTACAAGGGCAAAAGCTTCTGACTGGTACTGATGCCACAGATGTTTGGGGATGTTGTGGTGGACACTGGCCATCCACTGCGTCCATGCTTCTCTTTCGCTCATGGGTTGGGATGTGCCGCTCGCCTAAAACACAAAGAACATACGTTTAAACTTTTAATGAGACTTGGTGTCAAAAAGAAAATATAACTTCAATTGTATAAATGGTTGACTTAGTTTTAGCATAATAAATATTATGTAAAGTACAATCATACCTGAATCAACGCAGCCTGGGACTCCTTCAGTTCCTGCTGACTCTCCGACACTAGGTTGACCAGGACTTCTGTTAGGTTCTTATCCTTCGCCTTCCTGGACTTCTTGGATGGCTTCATGGGGGAAGGAGACGCGAATCCAATGTCTGGCCTCCTGGCCAAGCTCTCCAAGTCGGAATCCTGGTCGTCTGAAGTCTCCGGCTGTGGAATCTGAATCATAAACAAAGACGGGTCCAAAAATGTAAATCTTCATGTCAAATACAGCAAAATATACATAACCAAAAGGTAAGAAGACAGACAAAGCCTTGCAGATGCTTACCGAGCCAAGGACTTGAGAAGACGTTAGCCTCTTGTTGCCACGATAAAACGGCTGCAGGAAAGCATACCTCGTAAGCTTCCATTGTTGGAGGGGGGTGAAGGGTTTGGAGGAGCCAGAGCCGGACTTTCCCTTGGCCTCCCTCTCTCTTAACTTCTGGTAATCAGTCCTGATGTTCCTGAATCTTTTGTATATTCTGTCGGCCATCTCGACTGCAGACCAAAACGAAAAGAAACCTTATAAATGAACATTTCAAAGCACAGGAAAATTTACATTTCAAAGCACACGAAAATATACATGACCAAAAAGTGTAAAAGTGCAAAAATTAATGGTAAAGAGAAGTTCAAAAAGTTTCAAAACTTACCTTCGTACCCAAGAGACTTTGCCAACTCCCCAAGCAGGTGTCTTCTCTTCACCTTGTTCTTGTACTCATTGTTCCGCATATCATAAAACAATACGTTGTTCTCGAAGAACTGAGCAATCTTTTCCTCTTGGTCATCTGTCAAGGGCCTGCTGGAGCTGTCCTCCCTGTCAGTCATGTCGATATCTGAGCCCTCTTCTGCATGGGCTGCCTGGGCTGCAGCTGTCTCTTTCTCCTTTTTTTTTTTTTGGGGGGGGGGAGACCCTGGTAGGGGCTTCCTTGCCTCTGTCCTTCTCCCTGCCTCCTCCGCTCAGCCCAGGCTCCTTTCCCCCCACTTGCCTCTTGTTTTTTTGACGTGTTTTGGGCATTTCTTCAGCGAATCAAAAAGTTCGGAAGAAATATAGCAAGTGTCTCTAGTGGAGCGCGCTGAGCATCGCTTTATATACCAAGCGAATAACAATGGTCTATTGACCATTGTTAATGTCATTGTCATTGCCATTGTCATTGTAATTGTCAGCCATTATCGGCTAGACGTCGCGGTGAATAGAGCTGGTGCTGCTGGACGCCGACCGATTTTGAACTCGCCGCCCAGTGACCGATTGATCTCCCAGCGGCGACCGGGCGGCGACTGCTCGGCAGCCTCTGACCTAGCGGGTTCGATTTTTTACTTAAATCGCTCAGCGGCGAACGCTCGATTAGGTCGGTGCCCGGTCGGTGGCCGGGCGGCGACCGCCCAGGCACCGAGCGTATTTTGGGCGGCGAGTGAAAAGTGAGCAGGCGCCGCCCAAATTTTAACTCCGCGCTAAAACTTCAGCGGCGACCGAGCGATGCCCTAAAAACGAGCGGTGCCTGGTCGGCCGCCGCTCGGTGACCGAGCAGAATTGGTTAAAAACTCGCCGCTCGGCCGCCGAGCAGGCACCTTTTGGGATTTGTGACCATAGCTAAGCCTCAGTCACAAATGCCATTACGAACTGCTACGAACGCCGTACGAACGATTTTCAGACAATTGAAATTCGGGATGACAATGGAAAAACAGGGAGATTCGTACGAAATTATCGTTCGTACGAACCTTTGTGACCGTAGCATTACGTACATGGAACGCTGAACGCTTCGCTGAAACTTCTTTATGTTGGAAGCACTGGACTGGCCATGCATCGGGTTGCGTTGGGATTTGTTTTCTCTACACTTTGTTTAAAGTTAAGCCATCGTGCCTAGACTCTTTCTTTAGTATGACTTTCCGTTTATGTATATTGTTAAATCATTGTTGGTAAACTTGGTACCAGCTTATTCCAATACAATTACATTTTGTTGGCAATCCACTTTGTCCCTCAGGACTATATGTTAAATAATTGTATTTCACTGCCTCACGGTTATATTGGGAGCATGTGATTGTATTCGATGAAGACTTGCAGAGCAACTCCTGGCCTATAATTATCTTTTCTACGCCCAGCTTTAAACCTTAATTCTCTTCGGGTGCTTAATCAATTGTGCGTTATGATTAATGTTGGTTAAACTTCATGCGTCTTGTTGTGGTGTGCACAGTACAAGCTTCTTATAGACGTATCTTACATAATTAAGTTTTGTTTAGTAGTATTTTAGTGTATTTTTTATACTTTTTTAAAAACTTTTGTTTTTTTTTGTTTGTTTTTTTTGTTTTTGTTTTTGAAATGGTACAACAATTTCCATGCGTTCGCTGTAGTAAATGTGTTAAAGCAAATCAGAAAGCACTTCTCTGTACTTCTTGCCGAAACTGGGTACACATATCATGTTCAGAAATCTCTGTAAAGAGTTACGATGACCCTAATGAGCATTTTGTAAATTGGGAGTGTTTAAGATGTCTTTTAAACCATCTTCCAAATTATATTGTGAATAATTCAGAGTCCGACGTCGACGATTATTATAACATAGATCCCTCATGTAAATCTGGTGAGAACATATCCTTAAAATATGATCAACTTTCTAGTAAAGGGATTAAATTTGTCCACCTGAATATTGTAAGTCTTTTGAAATATCATGAAGAAATCAAGCAAATCATGTTTGAAAATGAAATACCAGTTCTTGCTCTGAATGAGACTAGATTATACAGCTCTATTGCAGACAATGAAATATACATACCCCATTACTCATTACTTCGAAAAGATAGGGATAGAAATGGGGGTGGAGTGGCCATTTACGTCCATGAGTCTATTCATATCAACTTAGTTAGTTATGATTCTCTTGAACGTTTAGAAGCATTGTGCATAAAAGTTTGTTTGAAGACCACGAAGCCAAATATTTTGTTAAACTGGTATAGACCACCAAATTCAAAAGTCGAGGTTTTTAATCACTATGAGGACTTTTTGGTTTTTGCAAATGGTCTCAATGGGCAATTCATTATTATGGGTTACATTAACCGTAATATCACGAAAAAAACCTTTTGAAGGAAATACGAAAGTCTATAATCAAATAAATGATATATATTGTTTGAAACAGGTAAATGATACATTGTATACAAGAGTAACCGATAGATCCTGCACACTTGTTGACCATATGTTAACGGATTCAGGCGCGGATCCAGGGGGGGCCGAGCGGGCCTTGCCCCCCCCCCCCCGCAAAAAAAAAAAAAAAAAAAAAAAGAGAGAGAAGAAAGGAAAAGAAGGGAAAGGGAAAGAAGAGAGAAAGGGAAAGAAAAAAGAGGAAGAAAAAAGAAAAGGGGAAAGAAGGAGATCGGGGGGGGGGGCCGAAAGAGCCTTGCCTCCCAGGCTGTTGACCCCCCCCCCCCCAATCAAAAAAATAAGAGAGAAGGAAGGAAAGGGAAAGAAAAAAGGAAAAGAGGAGATACTGGCGTACGGATGGGGGGGGGGGGCTTGGGGGAAATCAAATTCAAACGTGGTTTATTTCTAATTCCACAACCGTGGATTACAAAAATAATGCTGAAATTACTTAATTTCCGAGATTTTTCCTCACTTTTTAGTAAATTATACGTTTGTATGTGTTTGTTGGAAAATGACAAATTCCTAAATTTACAGCCAGGCAAGAAATATGATTCTTGAGATTCCTACATGTCAGGGCCCGAGGTACGGCAGGAATCGGGAGCCTCGAGCTCCCTCCACCCCCCTACACTTTTTTTGAAAAAGTGTAATAAAGAGAAATAAAAAAAGAATGAGAGCAAGAAAGAGAGAATAGTTAACTGCCCGTGTTAAAAAATAATGAGGCATCAACATATGCTCATCTGAACTGGATTAAATGCCTAAAACCCCTAAGCTTCCGGGGGCTCTGCCCCCATGGACTCCACCTATAGGGCCCTACGGGGGCCCATAGATGCTTATCTGACGGTAATTTAATGCCTAAAACCCCTGATTTGGGGGGCTCTGCCCCCTGTACCCCACGCCAATAGTGTCCTGCCAGTGTCACAAAAAAAATAAGGTATACAAAAAAAAAGCTCATCGGACCTTAGTTAAACGCCTAAAACCCCTGAGCTTCCGGGGACGGCTCCGCCGTCTCGACCCCACCAGGGGCCCTAAGGCGGGCCCCTGAATGCTTATCTGACCGTAAGTTATTGCCTTAAACCCCTGAGCTTGCGGGGTCGGACAAGGTATCAAAATATGTTTATCGGACCGCAGGCACGTAGCCAGGCGGGAGCGTAGGAAGAAAAAGGAGCAGACAAAGGATATCTTTGAAATTCAGAATCAAGAACGGTACAGCAAATCGTCTTCTTTCTCTCTTAATCTTATGAAACGTCAAAGCTTCCGCGCTTTGCGCGCGGGAGGGGGGGGGGAACATGAATTCAAACGAGGATCCATAGGCGAGAACTATAATACGAATCTTTAATGATTTAATGAAACATAAAAGCTTCCGCGCTTCGCGCGGGATAGAGGGGGAACTAAATTCCGACGTGGATTATTTTCGAGAACGGTACAACGAATCGTCTTCTTTCTCTAATGATTTAATGAAAATTAAAAGCTTCCGCGGGAGGGGGGGACCTGAATTCAGACAAGGAATAAGAGTCGAGAACGGTACAACGAATCGTCTTCTTTCTCTAATGATTTAATGAAAATTAAAAGCTTTCCGCGGGAGGGGGGACCTGAATTCAGACAAGGAATAAGAGTCGAGAACGGTACAACGAATCGTCTTCTTTCTCGAATGATTTAATGAAACGTAAAAGCTTCCGAGCTTCGCGCGGAAGAGGGGAAAATCCAAATTCAGACGAGGATTATTTTCGAAAACGGTACAACGAATCGTCTTCTTTCTCTCATGATTTAATGAAAATTAAAAGCTTCCGCGAGAGGGGGGGGGGGGACCTGAATTCAGACGAGGATTAAGAGTCGAGAACGGTACAACGAATCGTCTTCTTTCTTTAATATTTTAATGAAACGTCAAAGCTTCCGCGCTTCGCGTAGGAGGGGGAGGGGGGGTGAATTTAGACAAGGATTAAGAATCGAGAACTGTACAACGAATCGTCGTTTCTCGAATGATTTAATGAAACGTAAAAGCTTCCGCGCTTCGCGCGGAAGGGGGAAAATCTAAATTTAGACGAGGATTATTTTCAAAAACGGTACAACGAATCGTCTTCTTTCTTTAATATTTTAATGAAACGTCAAAGCTTCCGCGCTTCGCGCGGGAGGGGGAAAAATCTAAATTCAGACGAGGATTATTTTCAAAAACGGTACAACGAATCGTCTTCTTTCTTTAATATTTTATTGAAACGTCAAAGCTTCCGCGCTTCGTTGATTGAAGGATTTTATTGATAATTATCCATTCTCGCAGTCCAAAGACTGAATTGCAATGGTTACAAAAGTTTACAATGTATATACATGATAAAAGCAATTATACAATAATATATTAAAACAGTCTAGGCAATCAACATTGAAATACAAATAAAAGTGATCAAATGACAATTATTATGGCAACTATCATTAATTTCAATTAATAAGCATGAAATTCTTAACTGAAACATCCTAAAAATATACTATTGAAATTAATCATTAAAACCATTACTATTACGAATATGGCATGCCGAAGGGTTGATTTTTTGTCATTGGTAAAACATATTGGAAATCTTGAAATTGGATTTCATGATGGATTAAGAAATAAAGTGAATTACATTGCAAATTCGCGAAGAATATTGAAATTTGTTGATAATAAAAATTTAAAAAAATAAACATATTGCACTGGCTAAATACTAGGTGTTCGGTGTGA